GACCAGAGTCCAGGTCAGACCAGAGTCCAGGTCAAACCAGAGACCAGAGACCAGAGCAGAGACCTGAGACCAGGTCAGAGACTAGACACCAGGTCAGACCAGAGTCCAGGTCAGACCAGAGTCCAGGTCAAACCAGAGACCAGAGACCAGAGCAGAGACCAGGTCAGACCAGAGTCCAGGTCAGAGACTAGACACCAGGTCAGACCAGAGACCAGGTCAGAGACTAGACACCAGGTCAGACCAGAGTCCAGGTCAGACCAGAGTCCAGGTCAAACCAGAGACCAGTGACCAGAGCAGAGACCAGGTCAGACCAGAGTCCAGGTCAGACCAGAGTCCAGGTCAGACCAGAGACCAGAGACCAGAGTCCAGGTCAGACCAGAGACCAGAGACCAGAGACCAGAGCAGAGACCAGAGACCAGGTCAGACCAGAGTCCAGGTCAGAGACTAGACACCAGGTCAGACCAGAGTCCAGGTCAGACCAGAGACCAGAGACCAGAGACCAGGTCAGACCAGAGTCCAGGTCAGACCAGAGTCCAGGTCAGACCAGAGACCAGAGACTAGAGCAAAGACCAGAGACCAGGTCAGACCAGAGACCAGGTCAGACCAGAGTCCAGGTCAAACCAGAGACCAGAGACCAGAGACCAGAGCAGAGACCAGAGACCAGGTCAGACCAGAGTCCAGGTCAGAGACTAGACACCAGGTCAGACCAGAGACCAGGTCAGAGACTAGACACCAGGTCAGACCAGAGTCCAGGTCAGACCAGAGTCCAGGTCAAACCAGAGACCAGAGACCAGAGCAGAGACCAGAGACCAGGTCAGACCAGAGTCCAGGTCAGAGACTAGACACCAGGTCAGACCAGAGTCCAGGTCAGACCAGAGTCCAGGTCAGACCAGAGTCCAGGTCAAACCAGAGACCAGGTCAGAGACTAGACACCAGGTCAGACCAGAGTCCAGGTCAGACCAGAGTCCAGGTCAAACCAGAGACCAGAGAAGAGACCAGAGACCAGG